TATAAACTTACTTAAGTCGTAAGACTGTCTTTCTAATAGACCATATTTTCTTAAAAATTGCAAGTACATTAAACACTATGTATGCACATAGTCCTTCTTAACCCTAAAATACTAATGCCACAATTTTACTTTTCTTACCCATCGTTATACTTAATCCTGTTTGAAAGATTCTTATCCATTAAGGAAGACAATTGCCATTTCAGTTAACTGAACAGATCTTAACCACAGCACTGTGTTCATCTTGGCAGTGCTGAGGAGACTCACTGAGTCCTATTCATAATCACTTTTTCAATGATGCCATAACTCACTAGAAGTGTCACTTGGCCCATATCCATGGATTCAAGATAAAGACATTACCTAATTCTTCAGTCTATTCACAGAAGTCCACAACTCCCACTCAGGTTGATCAATTAATCAGATTCTGCATTTTTCATTCCTAAGATGATAGATAGATAGATAGATAGATAGATAGATAGATAGATAGATAGATATAGATATAGATAGATATAGACATATAGATACGTAGATATGTCTTTCTTTATGTCTTAGAAGACCTTTAAATTCTGTGGAGTTCTGCTGTTTTTCAGTCCCAAGTCTTACAGATGATATATCGATATTCAATTGGATTTTAAATATTTCACATGGCTTTGTCAAACTTGCAGCTATAACATCTGAAGTCACTCTGTTGACACAGGGGCCCTGTGAATCTGTGAGCACTGTGCCAGCACAGCCTTAAAGAGCTGTGGTACAGATAGGGCAGATGGGATCCTCAGTACCAGGGCAAATGGTGAATATGCCAACAACAGCTCTTTGAGACCAGCAAAAAGATACTACCCATCCACACTTAAAGTGGGCTCAGGAAGATAATAGAGGCCAAATGGATATATTGGTTTATTTGGGAAACTATAAATCCCTCTGGGTATCTCAAACACAAAGTTATTTAAATTAGGGAATTAAGAGACAAAATCTGGGGACTGAAAGAGCAAAAGATAGGAAAGTTGGAGGTCTCCAGAGATCAGAAACTGCAGAAAGCCGTATCAGCCAGGAAGGAAGTAACACTCATCTGAGCCCACGCTCTTCTGCACTGATACAGCATGTAGGCTCCAGAAGGCCTGGGGTCTGCTAGCTATTGCCTCTGTAGGGATCCATGCTCATCTTCCGGCAGCACTAGAACTGCTGGCCACTACTGCAGTAGTCTGCAGTCACCTGCCACTGCCGGAAACAGGGTAGTTTCTATTTTCCTCCCACATTTAATTAGTTATGAATACATATCTTTGCCTCCCATGGACTCCGCAAAGCAAAGAGTCTGTAAAATGAAGTTTGCATGTTTCCAGCCACAGTGGTTTAGGGGAGAGTATAAAAGACCAAGTATGGGGCTGTGTCAACAGACAATACTTGGCAGAGTTTATTGGGCCAGCCTCTCCGCCCACTAAGATTTAGTCTTCTCATCCACAAAATAGCGATGATAATAGTACCTATCTCATAGGGTTATAGTAAGAATTAAAGGAGCTATGGTTCACAAAGCTCTTAGAAAAGTGTCTGGCACATAAACTCAAGTAAGTCATTGTAGGTTTTATTATTATTTAATAAACAATAGAATGAAAAGTCAGCCTATCTCTGGGTTGACCACACAGAAGCAGACTGTAAAGGTGACTGTGCCCTTTGCCCAACAGTGCTACCCATCCACACAGTTCTCATTTCTCCATTCAGGGAGGGATAAAACAAAGACTGTATTGATTTCCTGCTCACTGTGTTATTAATTTCTTGTGGTCCCCAGACACTGTGTAAGTTAATAACCTCTGCATCCATGTATTCACAGTAAAACAAGTTCTTTACCAAATGCATATGTTACACACCTCAAAAAAATCATATGAGAAATAGTTTAGAAAAATTGCCACAGGCATAACATTGAGGTCAAATTAACTTGAGAATACAAACTCAAAAATATTTGCTTATAAATTAATTCAGTCGCTCAATCAGGGCTCCCCTGCTGGCCCTCTGGAAGCTTGACTGCACTGGAACGGCCTTGATAGTGTGTTCTGTAAGGAACCCAGGGCAACAGTAGGCATTTGATATATGTTAAGTGATAATAATGAGGGCAATCAGTACTTGGTATACTGAGTGGATGGAGCTATTCAGGTTAAGGAAAATGCTTCTCAGCTCTAATGCATAATAGATAAAAATTAAGACTCTGGAAACATTTCCACATCCAACAGAATCACAATCTCTATTCAGCATCTCAGCCAATTTCTGGACCAGAGACTGATAACATGAAAATCTCTTTAAACAGCAGCCAAAAAGCCTCATATTGTAGTTTTTGGAAAATATCAGCCTTTGAGCCAACCAGAGACCTGGGTTCAAATTCTAACTCTGTCTCTTATAAAAGGATCTTAAGATAGTCAACCTCCTGAGCCTCAGATTATTCATTTAAAAAATATGGGTATTGATAATGTTTCAAGATTGCAGAGTACTTCTCACAGAAATAATGCATAGTTTTATTATAAAACCAACCTGCAATTATAGGCAACCCTGGATCAATTATCCTCCTTAAAAACTAAAACAGAAGGCTAGACTCCAAAAAGTAACCTATTTGGCTTTTGAATGAGATTTTGTATGTGAATATCTATATGTCATACATACTATACCTCAAACAAAACCCTAAATATCTAATTCTGGATGAAGTGGAAAATTAATTTTCCTAGTGTAATACTTTTCAAATGTTTGAAGTATTTTCACAAATTATAGTCCCATCATTAAAAAGTAGCATTTGATACATCAGGATTTACTCACTAGATCCAAAACGTCGTCGGAAAAAATTAAGTCAAATTTTCACACCAGTCTACCCAGTCTGTTCTTCCTTCAGTAGTGATCTCCACCGGAAAAAATGAAATCTGGACGGGCTTACCCAACACTCCCACAACCCCATACCCAAAAAGTTAAGTAAACACTTTCATCCTGGAGGAATCAGGATAAGGAGACAGACTTCTGAAGGTAGTTCCTACATGAAAGTGTCTCCTCTCTCTTCAATGACCAGAGAAAAATCTTTGAGCTCTAAAATCACGATTCTGAGCAGTATTTCCCAGATGCCCATTTATCAAATTGCCATTTCCCTGTTATTTTTAGTACTTAATCTGAACAGTGAAAGTCATATAAGGGATTGACTATAAACTTGTATGTGCTAATCAAAATATAATTATGAAAAAGGCTCTGATAAGAACTCTACAAAACTACTGCAGGGGGATTTGTTTGTTTTTATTAATATGTTTTAAAATGGACCATAGCAACAGATATGCAGATTATTTATTCTACTGGGTTTTTTAAAATGTGCCATAGCTGTGGGAAGAAAATAATATTTATTGAATGTTTATTATATGTCACTGTTATAAACTTTTCCTTTATTGACTTTTTTACCCTCAAAACAATCCAATGAGGTAGGTCCTGTTGTTATCTTTATTTTCATCCTAAGATGATCCCATCGCAAAAAATGTGAACTCCATTCTTCCATAGTCTTTCAGGTCAAAACTTTGGCGTCATCCTTGATTCTTCTGGTTCACTCCCACCCCACATCCAATCCCTTAGCAAATTTCAAATTTGAAATTTACACATTTTGGTTGCTTTCTACTCCAAGCCGCGTGGAGTATTCTAATGGCTCCTTCCTCACCGGCCTCCTGGCTTCCATCCTTGTCCCCTGCAGTCTAGTGACCAAACAACAGCCACGGCCATCCTTTTAAAATACAAGCCCGATAGTGTCACCCTCTGCTCAAGACCCTCCAATACCTTCCCGCCCCACGCAGAGTGAACCGCGAGGTCCCCTCCATGTAGCCGCTGGCCGGGGGTCCTCTGCCGCCGCTGCCGGGCTGCCCCTCACCCGCTCTAGTCGCACCCTCTCCGGGGCCCCTGCGCCGCCAGGACCAGTGCAGGGGCAGGGCCGCTCCGAAGGACCCCTGCTTGGGGTTTAACCGTCTGTGCGGCTGTCTGCTATTAATACTTTCATCTCGGAATGTGCGTTTGATAAGCGAAGATGACAGAGCCTGCTCGGGGGACTGGGTCCCGCCTCCGGGGCTGGGCTCTCGGCCCCGCTCCGCCCCGGGCCCCGGGCCCCTCGCCCCCTCCTCCGTTGGACCACCCGGGTGCCATGGTCCAGGGAAGACCGCGCTCCACGGTCGCCCTCCGCTCCCGGGGGGGGGACCTGGCGGGGCGTGTGGAGGCTGGAGTGGCCACGCGCCCCGAGCATCTCGCAGGCTCAGCCCCCTCCGGGTACCGAGTGCGTCCTGGCGCGGAGGCTGCGGTCTCCGGGGGTTTCCCGTCTGATTGAGGGGTGGTGACGGCCGGGACCCCACCTTTTCATTTTGCGCTGGGCCCCGCCGCTTACGGAGCCGGCCCTGCTGGCCCCCTCGCTGTTCCTCTAACACGCAGGCTGCCCCACCTCAGGACTTTGCAATGACCGCGTCCTCCCCAGACCCCACGGGCTCCTCCTGGACTTCTCCAGGGGCTCTGCACATGTCATCCTATGGGGGCTTCCACCCGCCCTAGAGACCTACCGCTCCGTCATTCCCCGGGCCCAGTCCCGGTTTAATTCTCTTCAGAGTACTGTCACCCTCCTAGGCCTTTGTCTATCGTTTCCTCTCCCCACTAAAATGTGAGTTCTAGGAGAACAAGGACATTGGGGGTTTGCTCACTACTGTATCCCTAGCAGTGGGTACTTGCAAGTGGCAGTTCATGAAAATTTGCTAAATAAGTGAATTCTCATTTTGTAAATGAGGAAATTGAGACTCAGAGGTGTGAAGTGACTTGCTTAACATCACAGCACCAGGATTCACACCCAGGCAGCGTGCGGTGGAGACCCTGCTCTGAACCACTAGATGGTTCAAGTGCCTTCCCAGGTGGCAAAGCTTGGAGTGAGAAAGAAGTCTTCACTGGACATAAATGAGGCCTCTGCAAATTTGTCTGCTGGATTTGAATCAAATGTACGATGGAATGTCATCTTTTTTATTTGATTAACTTCTCCTGCTTAGATGAAGAACTCTTAACACATATCCTCTGAATCCAGAAGGGGAGTTAACTGACTTCTAGATAGTAATCTTATGGAAACTATAGGCACCACAGTTAAACATTAAATGTGAAAAATATCAAATCACAGTCTGTACTAAGATGCATGAAAAAACACTTTGAGAATATTATTACATTACTTGAGATCAAGGAGTCTTTATCACTATTTGAAATGCCTGGACTATAGAGGTCCATTAGAGAAACAGGTTATTAACATGTTCCTTAAAGAAATGCAACTCTCTTCATATTGGCTCTTCCTGCCGTTTGGAAAGCATTTCCCACCTGCCATGTGGCGCACATCATTTGGTCCTCGGGACCCTGGGAACGGAGCTTTTCAGCTCCAGAGGGCTTCATCTGTGGAAAAATAATGACTGGCAGAATATCTTTTCTGTTATTATTTTTGCAAATTTACAAGTTAAGAACCTGAAACGTGTTCCAGAAGCGTCGTCTGTTAACAGGCAGAGAGAGCTTGCTCTCCACATCTGCAGTGACCTATTGTGGGCCGGCCCTGAGGCGGATCAGGCCACAGAGCTGAAACTTGCGAAGATGATGGGGAGAATTCAAAGCAACTGATTGCAGCAGCTTGGCAGGGAGAGCCATCGTGCACTAATAATACTGATTTGCTCTCTAATTATGTATTTACACAGTGGTCGGCTAAATACCCAGCTGTTGCTCCATCTTTAGCTCACAGTTCTCCTTTCTGATTTTGTTTTGTTTGGGCCCAAGCTGGAATTCAGGATGGAGCCTAGACATTTTCCTCCAGTTTATGAACGTCTCAGTCCCTAGGTGAGTCTTCCTCGTCTTTCTATGAAACAGAGCACCCACGTCTCTTTGAAAGTAAGAGGGAAGAAAAACAATAGCCAGTGTCAAAAATTTGAGAACATTCACTTTCTTCTTTCATTTCTTCCATCCCACTTCTCTAGAGTCTGAAAGTAAAGGTGAGAGGAAACACTGTCCCTGCCCCAAAGTGTCCCCCTGGAGCTCTGTGCCTTGGGGAGGAAGGGCAGGGTTAGGAGGAAGTGGGTCAGAAGTTCTAGGGAAAACATCTGCTCCTGCAAATTGGGCCAAAAACTTAAAGAAATGAGAAAATTGCAGCAAGAAGGAAAAAATGAATAAGTTCATAATCCTTGAGTTCCCTTTTTTCTTAGCCTTAATTTTTCTCCAGAGTTCTGCAACCATAAAGTATTATCTTCATCAGAATTGAAAGCCATATTCTATTCCCAAGGGTCTAGATGACCTATTTGTTTCTCCCTGAGATTGTCTTCAAAGCTAGGTGAATGTCATTTTGATGCTTATTGTACCACAATGACAAGATTCAACCATTATTCTCTAAGTGTATATTAAGCGGTGTGTTAGACCTATAGATAGAAGACAAGATGACCAGTCTTTGTCATCTAGGATCTTACAGTTTAGCTTACCACAGAAGACCCTCATGCAAACTTCCAAAACAATTTCCTCGTCCTCTCCCACCACTAATCTGAAAATTGCATGGCACAGTCACCATTCCCTTTCGTAGGACAACTGATCACTTACGGAGGCAAAGAGAAGAAGGAAACCAACCTTTGCTGAACTCGCTGGCCCGACAGGCACATACTAGGTGCTTTTGTATTTATGATCTCATCTAACCCTCACCAAACCCTACAAAATTAATGTTGTTAACTCTGTGTTACAAATAAGAAAACTAAAGCTCCATGTGCCATGAGGCTGATGGGGGTGGAGCTAGCACTGAATTCTAGGTCTAAACCAAGGTCCAGATCCAATGTCTTGCCATTCTACCAGGCTTTCCTACAGGTGACTGAGAACAGCTGTTCACCCCACGGACGTGCTGGCAAGATGACAGAACTAGGAGAGGTGCGAGGTGGAGTTACATGGACTTCAAACCCAAACAACTTTGGGGCCCTGGGAGGTGATGAGTTAAGCGAAACAGACAAAGTGGAATACAGTAGGGAATTCTGGGGCTTACAGCGATTGGAAAGACTAATCAATCTAAAGCAATAAATTCAAATATTTTTAAAAAACTGTGTAGAAACCTAAATATATCTAGTGCCAAATTTGATACACATTAAAAATGTTCAACTTCTGCTTTAACTGTTAAATTTAACTGGGAACAGCACCTGGTTGTTTTTATTATGATAAAGTATACAAAACGTAAAATTTACCATCTTAACCATTTTTAAATGTATGGTTCAGTGGAGTTAAGTACATTCACACTGTTGTGCAACCGTCACCACCATCCATCCCCAGAATTTTTTCATCATCCCAAACTGAAACTCTGTACACATTAAACAATAACTCCCCATTCCCCCTCCTCTAACCCCTTGAAACCGCCCTTCTACTTTCTATCTCTGAATTTGACTAATCTAGGTGCCTAATATAAGTGGAATCATACAGTATGTATCCTTTTGTGACTGGCTTATTACTGCTAACATAATGTCCTCAAAGTTCACACATGTTGCAGCATATGTCAGAATTTCCTTCCTTTTTAAGACTGAATAATATTCCATTGTATGTATATCTATTATCCATTCATCCATTCAACCATTGATGGACATTTGGGTTGCTTCCACCTTTGACTATTATGAATAATACTGCTATGAATGTTGATGTACAAATAACTGTTCGAGACCTGGCTTTCAATACTTTGGGGTATATACCCAGAAGTGGAATTTCCAGATCATATGATAATTATATGTTTAATTTTTTGAGGAATTGCCCTTCTGTCTTCCATAGTGGCTTCACCATTTAACATTCCCACCAACAGTGCACAAGTGTTCCTATTTCTCTACATTCTTGCCAATACTTGTTATTCCTGGGTTTTTTTGGTAATAGCTATCCTAATGGAGTGAAGAGGTATTTCACTGCGGTTTTGATTTGCATTTCTCTAATCATTAGTAATGTTGAACATCTCTTCATGTGCTCATCAGCCATCTGTACATCTTCTTTGGAGAAATGTCTGTTGAAGTCTTTTGCCCATTTTTTAATTGGGTTATTTGCTTTTTGTTGTTGTTGAGTGGTAGGAGTTCTCTATATATATTCGGGGTGTTAATTCCTTAACATATATGATTTGCAAATGTTTTCCCCCATTCTGTGGGCTGCCTTTTCATTCTTCTGATAGTGTCCTTTGATGTACAAGTTTTAAATTTTGATCAAGTCTAATTTATCTACTTTTTTTCTTTTTTTGCCTATGCTTTGGTGTCACACTCAAGAAACCATTACCAAATCCAACGTCATAAAGCTTTTCCCCTATGTTTTCTTCTCTAACATTTTCTTCTCTAAATGAGCTCTAACATTTAGTTCTTCAATCCTTTTTATCTAACTTGGTGTATGGTGTAACGTAAGGATCCAACTTAATTCTTTTGCATGTGGATATCCAATTTTCCCAGGGTTATTTGTTGAAAAGATTATCTTTTCCTCATTGAATGTTCTTGGCACCTTTGTTAAAAATCATTTGACTATATATTTGAGAGTTTAATTCTGAGCTCTTTTTTTTTATTCCGTTGGTCTACATGTCTGTCTTTATGCCAGTACTATGTTATTTTGATTACTGTAGCTTTGTAATAAGTTTTGAAAGCAGGAAGTGTGTGTCCTCCAACTTTATTATTTTTCAAGATTGTTTTGACTTTTCAGGGCCCTTTGAGATTCTATATGAATTTTAGGATGGATATTTCTATTTCTGCAAAAAACATCATTGGGATTTTGATAAGTATTACATTGAATCTATAGATCACTTTGGGTGATATTGACATCTTAATATTAAGTCTTCCAATCCATGAACATGGATGTCTTTCCATTTATTTTGTGTCTTTAATTTCTTTCAGCAACTTTTTATAGTTTCAGTGTACAAATCTTCTACCTCCTTGGTTAGTTTATTCCTAAGTATTTTATTCTTCTTCAAGCTATAATAGATGGAATTGTTTTCTTAATTTCCTTTTCAGATAGTTCATTGTTAGTGTATAGAAAGGCAACTGATTTTTGTATGTTGACTTTTTATCCTTCAGTTTTGTTCAATTCATTTATTAGTTCTAACAGTTTTTTGTGAACTCTTTAGGGTTTTCTACATATAATATTATGTTGACTATGAACAGGGATAGTTTTACGTCTTCCTTTCCAGTTTGGTTGCTTTTTGTTTCTTTTTCTTCCTAATCACTCTGATTGGAACTTTCAATCCTATGTTGAATAGAAGTGGCAAAAGCAGGAATCCTTATCTTATTCCCAATCTTAGAGGAAAAGTTCTCAGTCTTTCACCTTTGAGTGTGATATTACCTATGAGCTTTTCATATGTGGCCCTTATTATGTTGAGGTAGTTTCTTCATCTTCCTAGTTTGTTGAGTGTTTTTATCATGAAAAGGTGTTGAATTTCATCAAATGCTTTTCTGAATCAATTGAGATGATCATGTGTTTTTTTCCCTTCATTCTGTTAATGTAGTGTATTACATTGATTGATTTTCATAATCAATCATAATTTTTCATAATTTTCATTGATTCATTTTAATATTAAACCATTCTTGCATTCCAGGAATAAATGCCACTTGGTCATGGTGTATAATCCTTTTTATATACTGCTGAATTCCGTTTGGTAGCATTTTGTTGAGGAGTTTTGCATGAATATTCACCAAGAGTATTGGTCTATGGTCTTCTTTTCTTGATGTTATCTTTGTCTGGCTTTGGTATTAGGGTAATGTTACCCTCATAAAATGAGTTAGGAGTGTTCCCTCCTCTTCAATTTTTGGAAGCCTTTGAGAAGAACTAGTGTTTATTTTTCTTTAAATATTTTATTAGGATTCACCAATGAAGCCACCTGGTCCAGGGCTTTTCTTTGTTGGAAAGTTTTTGATTACTGATTCAATCTTGTTACCAATTTTATAGATCTGTTCAGATTTTCTATTTCTTCATGATTCAGTCTTGGCAGGTTGTATGTTTCTAGGAATTTGGCTATTTCATCTAGGTTATCCAATTTGTTGGCATACAATTGTTCATAGTAGTTTCTTGTAATCCTTTTTATTTCTGTAAAATCCATAATAATGTCACCACTTTCATTTCTAATATTAATAATTTGAGTTCTCTCTTTTTTTCTGTCAGTCTAGCTAAAAGTTTGTCCATTTTGTTGATCTTTTCAAAGAACCAACTTTTGATTTCATTGATTTTTCTCTATTGTTTTTCTATTCACTATTTTATTTATCTCTGCTCTAATCTTTATTATTTCCTTCTGCTAGCTTTGGGTTTAGTTTGTTCTTTTGCTAATTCCTTAAGGTGTAAAGTTAGATTGTTGATTTGAGATATTTCTCCTTTTTTAATGTAAGCATTTACAGCTATAAATTTCCCTCTTTGCACTGCTTCACTGCGTTCCATAATTTTTGATATGTTGTGTTTTCATTTTCATTTGTCTCAAGATATTTTCTAATTCCTTTGTGATTTCTTCTTTGACACATTGGTTGTTTAAGACTGTATTGTTTAATTTCCACATATTTATGTTTTTCTTCTACTATTGATTTCTACTTTCATTCTATTGTAAAAAGATACTTTGTACAATTTTAATCTTTTTAAATTTATTAAGACTTGTTTTGTGGCCTAACATGTAGTCTACCCTGGAGAATGTTCCATGAGCACTTGAGAAAAATGAGTATTCTGCTGTTGCTAAGTGGAGTATTCTGTTTATGTCAGAATATGTCTACTTATATGTTTATGACTATTTATGTCTGTTAGATCCAATTGGTACCTTGGTTGTTCAAGTCGTCTGTTTCCTTATTGGTCTTCTTTCTGGTTGTTCAGTGCCTGATTTTTCTTTAAAAGAAAAAATCTTATGGGGCTGGCCCAGTGGCTTAGAGGTTAAGTTCACATGCTCTGCTTCAGCGGCCTGGGGTTCACAGGTTCGGATCCCAGGCATGCACTGATGCCCCGCTTGTCAAGCCATTCTGTGGTGGCGTCCCATATAAAACAGAGGAAGATGGGCACAGATGTTAGCCCAGGGCCAATCTTCCTCAGCAAAATAAGAGGAGGATTGGCATCAGATGTTAGCTCAGGGCTAATCTTCCTCACACACACACACACACAAAAATCTTAGGAAAGCTGGAGAAGACACCAAAATACATGAAGTAATCTGTTCCAAATCAGGTCATGTCCACCACACATTAAATAATCTTCCTATATCAAAAAATACATATTTGAACATTTGAAGCAACTTTTCCAGGGCTGTTATATTTGGTCATACAGAATGTGCACTATCCAATATGGATTTGTGCAATTGGCTTTTGCTTTCAACAGACCAGTAGCCAGCATGTCATAGCCCTGGGGCAATGGAAGCGCAAAATGCAATTTTCCTCCCGATGCACAGCCTGTATCCTGATAGAGGTTTTGGTGTGCCTCCACTCCCATGAATGCATAAAATGCAGATGCAACTCTAATGGTGATTTATACCAGCCCACAGGGCATCCCAGGAGGGCTTAGGAAAGTGAATAAAGCAGAGAAATGACTCTTGAGTGGGTCTGAGGGTATCTACCACGTGGAAATCAAATATATGGGCCTGAGGGGCTCACAGTAGAAATCACACACCAGCCCCAAGTGCCTCTACTCAAGATCTCAGTCAGACGGAACAGCTGCACGTCAGGCATGTACAATAGGCCTGTCCTGCAGTGCCTTGTTCAATCACCACTCAGCAGTAGCAGTAATGTCTTCATGTCTGCCTGCTTTCTCTTAGCATCTTACAAAGAACCTTGCTGAAGCCCTAGCAAGGCCAACTTCCTATCTTCCACCTTGCAGAGAACACTGATTTTGTTTAAAATATCATCTTTTCTGCAATGTAAGACCATTTTATATGCACACTGGTCCATTGTCTGTCCATGATTGACATCCCCTTTCCCTACCAATATCTGATAGAAGCTGGTTTCATGCCCTGTTTGATGCAGATTTTAGGTCCATGCTGTTCTCATTATGTCTCATCCCTAAGAGGAAAAGTCCATGCAAAACAGACCTGCTGTATATTTGAGTTAGCTTAGATTTTTGACAAAGTTTATAATGGAAACAATAGTCTGCGAACCCAGCACTTTTCCCATGAAAAGTGCAGTGACTATACTGGTTCGCTACTTTTAGGACATGCCACCAGGCAAGTACTACTTGCTTTATTCAACAGTGAGAATTATTTAGCCCATTGTTTTCTTTAACTTTGGTGTCTTAGAAGCTCAGACATAAATTTAAGTGCTCAATTAGAATAGTAATGTTAGCCTAGGGTTGTGGTGTCACTGTTTTCTTTTTTCTTATTCTCTATTAATCATTTACTTAGATATGTTTATTTTATAATTGTCTGCTTCAAGTCTTTTTTACAAGTTTATCATTCAGAATAAACTGAATGGTGACTATTTGCTTCAGAATGATCATGTAAGGGTCACAGATATTGGACCACTTGCATATCAGTATCTCCATATTGTACCATTCCTTGTATTGCACTAATTGAAAAATTCTGAGACATGTATGATCCTAGAGTTTTTGTTGAGACCTCAGACTTAAGTTTCCCTTGATACAAACAAAATTGCCCCATATGTATTTTAGAAAGCTTAAAATAATTTATTCTGGTGAATTTAGAAGATTTGGAAGGAGCCTTGAGTCTGGAGTTGGTCATTTCCATTTAAAAGTCTCTGTCTTGGGAAATTACTGTTCTTGTACTGCTTGCTAGCATACAAAATCCTAATTGAAAAACCTTTACACCTGGTGGTGGCATGGATTTAATTTACTCCTGTCCTATTAGGAACACGTCTTGGTCAGGGAAGGAATGACTGGAATCCTGATGATTTGTGTTTTATACAGTCTGTCACGGAGAGTTAGCTTGGCCCCAGGACAGCAATAAACAGTCCCATACCAAGGTCATTTGTGTCTCTTTATTATAGGTAAGAACGGCATCCAAGCGATACCTCAATTTAGAACATCTCCAAATTCAGTTCAGTTCAATTCAGTGCAATTTATCAAGTAATTATCAAGTGTGCTAAGCATTTTCTGAGTCTCTGGGAGTATAACAATGAATAGAACTCAGTCCCTACCTTCATGGATTCCACAAAAAGAGAAAGGCTGATAAATAGCTCAAAAATTAAAATCAAGGTAAACATGAAGTGGTAAGGGAGCACAGAAGGAGAGCTTCTGGCCACCGGTGGGGAGAGGGCAGGACAGGTTTTCCAAAGGAGACTGTTACCGCACAAAGGGCACGATCTGCTCGCCGTGAGACAAAAGCCAATCATCAAGAGGCAAGATGGTGGAAAAGAAAGGGCAATTTATTACAGCTTGCTAGCAAGGGGGAAGACGGCTGACTCATGTCTCAAAGAACCATCTTAAGGGGCACAATATCTTACAGCAGTTATATAAGCCCGTGGGTTATAGGGGAGGGGGTTAGGAATGCTGACCTTCTGGTGTTACAGACTGGGAGTGCCACACCAGATCTTTCAGTTTTCACCGATGATGCCTATCAGCATAGACTCTCTGTTCGGGGGTCATCACATTCCTAAGGAACTCAAAAGAACAAAGTCATCATCTTATTGCCGGTGGGAGGTACACGCACAAGCAGGGGTTGTAAAATCTCCAGAGCAGTTAGATCTCCTGGAGGGAGCATACCCAGCTGGGTTAGTTAGTCAGAGGTCATTCAAAGTTACAATAGGGTTTTTCTTTTCTGCAATATAGCTTCCCTTATGTCAACCTTGTCTTGAGCCAGTATCAAGATGATGGCTCTAGCAGACATCACAGAGCAGTCTTTGGAGGACACATGATAGAGATCTAGGCCCAGATATGGGTCAAAAAACCCAAAAGGTTCAAAAGAGATGGAGGACTAGCATCTCCCTGAGCATTCCCAGTGTTAGCCTAGTGGCACACCAAGGTAGGCTAGGAAGACTCCCAGTAAATGTTTGTGGAGTTGAATGAGTGAGTGTGAAGGAATCTAAAACGAAGCACAGTAGTGTGAGAAGTGATTGTGAAGGAGTAATTACCTCTTTTTTATCTGGATCTCTAAAGGTGTTCCAACTTCAGACTACAAACTGGTTTGAACTGGGGATTAGTGTATTTACCTGATTTTGAGGTGATTCTTAATATAAAGCAACCCTCCATTTTTTTCCATGAAAGGAGGATATATAGAATAGTTTTGAGCCAACTTAAATATTTAGTTTTTGGGGAATGAAGATGAAATAGCTGAATGTCTATTCATATTATTTAACTCTTTAATTTAGTCACACGTACACATCAAATAATATATAGATTGAGAAATTTTACCATATTTTAGTCATCTGGGACAGTTTCGGGGGCACTGCCTCTGCCCTCTTCCTGCATTGTTTAGGATACAGCAGATTCTGAAAAGGCCTGTGAGGCTCTCACTAGAGACTATGTCACCTGATGCAGCTTCTCATTTGCTGTTGTGATCTTCATAACCACTTACTATGTTGCTTTAAAAAGATGATTTGTAAGAGCTATAGGGAGAAAAATATCTTTTCCTTCTACCTCTTCAAGTTCTCAGCTGGAGCCCCTGTAACACAAAACAGATTAACAAGAGAAAAGCATACACATTTATTTAACATAAGTTTTGCGTGATACAGGAGCCTTAATAAGGAAATGAAGACCAGAGAAAGCAGATAAACCTGAGTGTTTTTATGCCACGTTTGATGAAGAGTAGAAAGTCCTGGGAAAATATGATAAGACAAAATGGGTGTGAGCTAAGCACGTGTAGTAACTGGGGAAACAGCCAGGCCTGTTCACTCAGATTCCTCTCAGCGTCCCTCCATCTTTGGAGACAAGGATGCTCCTTTCCTTCAGGAATAGGAAGGCACTCCTCACATGAGGGTCTTATGACCTGCACCAGGGGAAGGTCAGAAAATCCTTTCTGTACCTGCTGTTTCTCAAATTCTTTCAGCTTGAAATATTCATTATGCCAAGGTGTCATATTTGGAGTAGTGGATCTGAGCAGAATAAGGACGGGACTCTGCCCCTCACCCTTAACGATCAGGTCCGGCACCTCCCAGCCCAGCTATTTTGGAGTCAAGATAAGCAACCTTCCAACCCCAAGACTGCCGGCAAGCAGTCGACCCCGACTCCCTCATGCGCACAAAGCCTCAAGATGACCACAGTACCACGTTCCTGGGGTGGCGGTAGTGAGCAACGCAGCCATTTTGAACCTACTGGGCAGGCACAGGGACCAACCCCAACAGGGCATGCGAAGAGGACCCCGCCAGGAAGAGCGAAGCAGAACGCCTCTGGAGGAGGAGGATCATGACGCCAGTCCCCTCCCTTCACCTTATAAAAGACTCAAGCCACCCCGTTCAGAGAGCCCGCCAAGGAGCCACTTCTGCCACTGTCTCCCTTGTGCTGGAGCATAAGCCCCAGTAAAACCTTGTCTGAGGCTTTGGTTGGGCCTCTTGTCAATTTCTGCTACAGAGAGAGCCTAAGAATCTAGGGTCGGTAACAGATGTGGAACCCTGTCCGAGTCAAAACGTGATTGTGAACTCATACTTCCAGGAATAATTGCTAAATTGAGTTAAATTTCTTTACTTCCTTTTTTTTTTTTCTTTTTATTCTTTCTTTTTAATCATCCCATACAGACGCTGGCCGGTTCCCACGCAGTGAGAGGTGCTGGAGAAGGCTATGGCCACAGGAGGCGGTGGGGAGTGACCAGGCTGGCTTCAGAGCCAGGAGCCTGTGAGCTGGGGCCTCTGATGCCCAGGTGGGCTGGAGGAAGGGACTCAGAGGCCAAGCGGGAGAGAGAGGAAGGGGTTAACAGGGCGTGCGGGGCAGGAAGTTGGAGAGAAGCCGAGGGGTTTGAAAAAGGCCAGCTCTGGAAGGGCTTTGTTACGGCACCAGGTCCGTTTTTGCCCGCTGCCCAGAAAGCCAGTCACAGAGAGGACAAGGTTGCAGAGAGAGGGGGTTTAATCACAAGGCAACCAAGTGAGGAAAACGGGAGAACAAGTCTCAAATCTGCCTCCCTGAAAATAGGGACTCAGGGGTCTTTATGCGGAAGGGGGCAAGGTGGTCTGAAATGATTGGAGGTGAGGAGAGATGAGGTAATTGATGATCTGCGCAAGCGTAGTCAGGCTTCCTGTTTCTTCGTAGGACACATGTTCACAGAATGGCGGCATTAGCATGCCCTGAGGGTGGAGCTCCAACCTCTTGCCATCAAAAGGGCCCAGTTGATGGGTTGGTGGTCTCAGTCCGGCCTGAAGTGGACAAGGGGCTCAGTTCCTGAAAAAATAGCTCAAACACCCATTACCATAGTAACCCAGGCTCCAGGGAGATGTCATCTATAGGAATCTAGTGGGAGTCAGATAGCATATTGCCCAAACAGCACAGTTAACAATGAGTAAATTTACCATGCAGATTTAAGTCCTCGCCTTCCATTCTGATAAGTTTCTAAGTAAGGCCATCCCCACTTCTTCCTGGTGCAGGGAAGATATCTTTACAAATGGAGATTTTCTTTACAAATGTAAATGTCTCTCATAAAGGGTAACTAGAACTAAGAATGGGCTTAGCACGGGAGTACTGGGAGATGTCTATAGTAATGGCCATTTCTGCGAGCAGGCCTCCCATTCCAAACTCCTTTCTTCAGTTAGTGAGGGTGGGGGTCAAAATGTCATTCAGGCAGAGACATATTTTGAGTTCACAAATTCCAATCCCCCATAGTTACTAGCTGTTGTGGGGGAAGAGGGAGAATCCCCCTCCACCCTTTCCCTTAAGGTTCTTCTGGCTGGCCAAATAATTAACAAGACAGGTTAGCAGGAGAAAATAATACCAAGTTTAATGACATGTATACATGGGAGAAACCAGGGAAACTGAGTTTCTCAACACAATAGCAGAAATTCTCGTCTTAAATACCATCTTCAGCTAAAGACAAAGGAGGGTGTTGGGGGTGGGGAGGGAGACAGAAATCACAGTAATCAAGGGTATGTAGGGGGCCAGCCCCATGGCTTAGTGGTTAAGTGCGTGCCCTCCGCTACTGGCAGCCCAGGTTCGGATCCCGGGCACGCATCGACGCACCACTTCTCCAGCCATGCTGAGGCCGCGTCCCACATACAGCAACTAGAAGGATGTGCAACTATGACATAAAACTATCTACTGGGGCTTTGGGGGAAAAAAAAAAAGGAGGAGGATTGGCAATAGATGTTAGCTCAGAGCCGGTCTTCCTCAGCAAAAAGAGGAGGATTAGCATGGATGTTAGCTCAGGGCTGATCTTCCTCACACAAAAAAAAAAAAGTCATCAAGGGTATGTAGATTTAAGGCCTTATCCTCCATGCTGATAAGTTTCTAGAGAGGACATCCCCTTTTCCCCCCAGAGTGGTAGACACCTTTACAAATGGAGATTTCCCTTATAAATGTAAATGTTTGTCTGGCAACTCCTTGCAGGGCCACCTAGAGAATGTGGCCAGAGAGACAGAATTTTTGATAAGTTGGGCTTGTTGGTGCCTTTCCTATTGTAACATCTATTTTACATTATATTACAGCCATCAGATAGTAACTCCTTCCTGGAACAGATCTTCTATGTCAAATTCTTTAGGCAGTTAGTGGGGGAGGTTGCATGTCTGTCAGAGAAAACAAGGTAAAGAGACATATTTCCCGGTGGCCAAATCTTGATCTCCCACACTGTTTAATCATGAATGGCGGTTTGCCGGTTTCAGCCTGGTACTCCTTTATCCTGTGGGGTAACAGGAAGCCCTTGAAGGGTTTTCAGCAGGAGAGAGATGTGATCAGATGTCCGTCATAGACAGTTCACTTTAACCCCAAAGTGAAAAGGCCATTGGAGCGGGGAGATGGAGACCAGAAGTCCAGGTAGGAGGCTGTGCCTGACGGGGTCCTAAACTGTGGGAGGGGCGGGGGGAACGCAGAGGGGTCGACTTCCCCAAGTCCTGCAGGGCGGATGCAAACCTCCCCCACCTCTGATTCTAAATCATGGATGGTGTCAGCTCGGAACCTGCTGCTGCTCCCGGGAAAAGAGCAGCTCGTTACTCTCCAATCCGAGGCAATTTTCATATTATTAGAGGCTCTCATAGCCTTTCTTCTCCTGCACTCTTCTTTTCCTTCCCAAAAGCATGCACAGAGTGCCTCACAGACAGCCGTGTACAAGGAGTGTGCCAAGTGACCCTCCCAAAGAGGAGAGAGAGAGGACGCAGGACCAAGCCCAAGGCGGAGAGAGTGGGGGCGGGGGGCTGGGAGGCGGAACCCCAGCTTTGTGCCATTTGTGAGCCCTTGGGGTCCTCACAGGGCCTCTTTCTCTGAGCCAGTCCAACCGTAAGAACAGATAATGCTACAAATCCGTGTCCCCGGGGTATTGAGTCATTTTTTGTAAATCACCTAGAAAGGCATTTGCGGGGCTTGAAAGCACAATTTATTGCTGCATTATTAAATGGTCCCAGCAGCCAGCCACGCTCTTGTTATTGATAGAGTAAAAATGAGGCAACCAAGGGGGAAGACACCGGAAAATAGGGCAGAAGCTGGGGGTTCCTGTCCCCACCCCCACCCCCGAAAAAGAGCCTCTTCCTGCTCTCCTTGAACCCTGCAGGCCAGGGAAACAATGAGACATTGAGATCCTTAGGGAAAACTACATCCTGTAAAAAGCAAGGCATTTTTAAAGGGCATCCATTTCTGCCACAAATTGTTTGAGGAATGAAACCAGGAAAAAGAAACAATCAAAAGCAGATAAATGCCCGTTGCCCTTCCCAAGGATCTGAACACGACGTGGGGGGGGGTTCCCCCCTCTTGCTGTCCTTCTTCAACCAGCCCCCTTTTCCCTGCCTCCTTCTGGGGATCCACTGCCTCCTCTCCAGCCTGGAGGACCCCCTGGGCCAGGAAGTCCTGGGGTTGGAGGGCGCCTGTGCTCTGGGCCCGGCCATCATCCTTCAGGAGTTCTCCTTTCTTGTATTCAATTCAGGAAAATCCTGTGGACCCACACTGTTCCTGACACCTGGGCTCTCCCAACACCTGGCCACCGCAACCTGTTCCTGCCTCCTACTGTTCTGCAACCCTGAAACCATTTCACCCACATCCCCTCCTTCCTTCCAACTGACTGGCTTCTGTGTTATCTGCCTTTAATCCAAATAAAATGAAGTACATATTCCATCTGCCTAAATAATGCCAACTGTTTTTCCCTCCTACTTTAAAGTGATTTTTAGGAATAGTATCCTGTCAAAAGAATTTATTTCATGTCTGTAAAGAGGAAAAAATTTCTTTGCCCTATAGATTGTACGTCTTTTTCTGTTCTTTCTCTGTCCTCTTCTGTTAAAGCCAACCTCCTCCAGTAAAACCTCCTCTGAATCCAGACATAAATGGGCTCTTGAGGGGGGGGCGGCAGAAGGGGGCAAATTAAGAGGAAAGCTAGGATTTGGAATGGCTAATTATACAGAAAGTGTTCTGCTCACAAAATACTTTGAAGAACACTATTTCATTGATTCTCGCTCAAACCTGGGAAGAATAGGTAAAATCAGGCAAGTTGCCCAGAGTCACACAGCTGATAGGTATGAATTTCCCCCATCCTCACCGCCATCTCCCTCAGACGTGTTGCAAAGCCTCCCACCTCTGCCTAGAGTGTTTCCCGCATTCTCATTCACCCTGCCACGTCAAGGTTCGCGCACACCTTGCCACGAGGCTACTGTAGATGCCATTGCCTCCGGATGAGGCCCAAGTCCAAGTGCTCATGTCTGGTATATTGGGTCCATAGTCCTCTTGTCAGCTCTCCACTCCTCCTCAAACACCCGCACTCTGGCCTTGACCACATCTACAAGCTTTGGCATGTGCCGGTCTTTTCCTGGGCTGCCTGCCCCCTGCTAGACAGAGCCTCCTGCAAAGGCTGTTTCTTCCTTCTCTACACTCCGCTCACCAGGTTGTGATATGTGTGCTGCAAACACACGTCTGTCTCCTACACCGACTTTCGGTTCCTCTAGGGAACTGCGTTTGTGTCTTCAGCACCTGGCACTTACAAGGTGTTCAGTAAATGTTTATAAGAGGAAAGAATCGAGGGCGGGATAGAGAGAAGGAGGGAAGGAGGGGAGGACCTGAGTTTGGGCCTTCAGGATGCAAACCCCTTGTTGTTGGAAGATAACGCCAAACACGCGTCCCCACAGATGGGCTCTGCCGGTGTGTTCTCTCCATGGCCTCTCCTTTGGAAATGTTCCCATCATGGGCACTTTCCATCTTCCTCTCTCGCAGGTAGGCAGAGTTGCACTTAAACAGACTCTCAACTCTCCCACCAGAAAAGAGCTTTGGCTGTCGATGTCCATAAACACGGTATTTATGCCACCTCATGTTAGCATGAATATCACATGCCAGTGCCATCTGACAGATCCTTGGCTCGGCCTCCACCCCGTGCCACCCACCACTACACCTGCCACCTGCCGCCCAAGCGTGCCTCACTCTTGTTGGTTTTATTTACCCTGGGTTAGTGTCACCATTTCCCATCCTCTGGGCCTCCTTCCAAGTCCTTGAAGCACAAATAACTCTGAATGTGGGTGACTAGATGGTAGTTGTCGTTAGAATTAACACTTGATTATAAACCCTGGAGACCCAGACTCTGTCATTCTCCCATGGATGCCCTGAATTACAGATTCCCCTAAATAGGCCAATAAATGTCAGTACTGGTGACGCTAGCTGGTGATTTGTGGCGTGTGGGACACCAGATTCACAGGCATGGCAGACCACAAAGGCACCTTGGGAACGTAAGGAGAGAGAAACAAAGACTCCGTCTCAGACGCTTCTGCCGGTGTGGTCGGGGCCAGGCCACGTGCAGAAGCTGGCTTTCCCCAGGCCGGGGCAGAACACAGCGTGCAGGAGACCAGCCTGACCCAGTGGGCCGGCCTGCCCTTCCACTCTGCAAATGCCCACCTGCTTTCCTTGAAATGATCAAGGAGGTTTTGCGTGTGGCATTTGTGCTCCTTATCAGATAACTTCAGGTGCAGAGTCCCCCTCAGGAGAGTTCTTCCTGCCCAGACTTCATATGTGTTTGGGATATACTGACGCCAAGCGGTTTCCTGTGGTTCTGTTTCTTCGTTTGGTTGGTGGGTCACAGGGCCCCTGGGCTTTAATTCAGACAGCCGTCACACTATAACCTATAGCCGCCTAGAGAGGTGTTCCCAAAGATACTGGGTGTCATGATTGGCCCAAAATGTTTCAATGAGTTTAGGGAAAAGTGTAAGGACTTTAAAGTCAGAAAAAATGTGAGTGTAAATCCTACCTCTGCCATTTATTAAAAATGTGTCCACAGGTTAGCTGAGGGGGTCAGGAAACTCAAGCCTGTGGGCCAAACTCGACCCATTGCCTACTTTTTAATTCATTTAAGTATTGTCTATGGCTGCTTTCTCTCCACAATGGCAAAACTGAGTACTGGTGACAGAGACCAATGTGTCCCACAAAGCCCAGAATATTTCCTATCTGGCCCTTTACAGAGGAAGTTTGCCACCCCCTGGGCAAGATTATTTCACCTCTCTGAGCCTTGGTTTCCTCATCTGTAAAATGGGCAAAATACTTATGTCAAAGAAGTGACGCTGTAAGAAATAAATGAGATAATAAACGTGAAAAAATCAGCCACGTAGCAATGTTTGATACATGTTGGGATTTTTTAAATTGTCATTTTAATCTTGCTGTTGTCCAGCCATGTCACTCTTTGACAGGTGAGAGGACACAGCTTCTGTCTGCTGCCTCTATCCCTGTTTCCCTCTTTATTCCTCTTCATTTTGCCCCACTACACCCCCTACCACCCCAAGGAAGAAAACTTCAAGAAAAAATAGTGTGATGGTAAAAAAAAAACTATATAGAAACTAAACTTACTCTAAAGAAAACTTTACTTCTATTGAGCATCAAATACTTATTTTATGTCTTTTGAGTAGTAATTTCTGTTATCTTATTTTCAATGTAAATTTAACCATGCAATTTGTAATATTGTACTAAGAACAATGACTTCTTGCCTTCTATATACAGAATTTTTTTTTTCCTAGAGAAAATATTAGATGTTTTCAAATTCCTACACACAAAATGCTTGTCCTCTTGGGAAAATATAATAAAAAGTTTTAAAAAATGTAAAATTTAAAAATGAGATAGAGCTGTGTGAGATTATCTGAGTTTTTTTTTTTCCAATCAGAAGGAAATAACTTTCCATATTTGTTAAGAAGGAAGAGAGACACCTTGCTTCTCCCAACAAGTTTCTTCAACTACTTTCATATTAAAACATTTTTTTAATTTCAATTCAGTGTTTCCCTTATCACCTCCTTAGCAGCCTTACAATTTGCCTTGCAAAGAAGTTGAAATCCTCAGAATGGATTACGAAAATAATGTGTATCCCTACCAAAACTAAACATATTAAAGCATTTAAATATTTTTAATCAGAACTATTACAAGGTTTAAAACAGAGATAAAATGGTTTCAGTGCAAGAAGGTTTAGGCCATCTTAGACCCATGGAGCTTGTATGACTTGCCTTCCCTTCACCAGACTCAACATAGATCAGAACACAGAGGGCTTTACATTTTTCCCATTATTACATTATTTCAGCGAGGTGAATTCAATATGAGTCCAGCCAAGTGGATCTACTGCTTTTATATCCATAGCTAAGAGACGAGCTCTAAACCCACTGCAGAAATGGAAGACCATTCTGGTTCTGGGTATTCATTTTGAAACCTGCTACTCTCAGATCAAATAATTCAACTCAAATTGGTCAACGTTTTTGCTCAGGTGAAAATCCAGGAACACTACGAGGGCTGTTAGTTCAGAAAATGTGAAAAAGAGAAGAGCTTGGTTTTCCTCCTAGGTGTTTGTGCTTCTGATCCATTTTATGAAAAGAATCCAA